AGGGAGAGACAGAGGAAAATAGAGGGGGGGGGAGAGAAAGAGAGAAGGAAAGAGAAAGGGGAGAGAAAGAGAGAAGGGGAGAGAGAGACAGAAAGAGAGAGAGAGAGGGGGTGTTTGTTATTTTAATAGGATGAATAATTGATTCCCATTATTTTCTCACTGCGTCCGGTTCCCAGGCTGACACGGTGCAATACAGTCATTAATTTATTATACACATTTTATGACCAGTCCCATCTTCTGATCCCACCTTCTGTTTCCCATCTCTCACCTCTTGTTTCCCATATGTCTAATTTTCCATCCCATCCCTACTTTAATTCTTTAAGGGCGCTTCGTTTTCGTTCATCTCATGGGATGGAACATTTGATGCAGGCCAAAATATTAAATATAAGTCACTGTCGTCACTGACTGAAACTGGCTGACTTAAAACGGCAGTGGACGCTCCCCTTAAACGAAGCTTTAGTGCCATGAACGTAGCCTCAACAGCGCCTGTAAACTGCATTCAGGGTGCCGTGAACGTAGCCACTGAGTAAAAATAAAAGTAGAATGCACTCAACTCACACTCATTTGTGCTTCTAAATGTCATGTCGAGTTCTGCCATGTTACAGTCCAACCTGCCTTAATGAAATCTCCCCGCTCCCCCACTTGATATATTCCTCTTTGATTACCGTATAAAACGGAATGCGGAAACGGAAAGAATAATCTGCTATCTGAGGGTTTTACCTGTCTAAGACGGAAAATGCTTTGCCTGCTCAACCCTGATTTGAAACAAAACTTGCAAGTTTGGTTCAGCCAGGTCTAAACTTAACTCTCTGCTGCTGGGTGTGAAAGGGGAGTAGGGGTGCAGTTTATGGGTAGATGTTACCCCATCTATGTGATCCCAGGGTGATGCAGATGGTCAGTTTAGTGTGGGTGTGAAATCTCACGAGTGCCAGTGAAAGTGCTGGAGTAGCTACTTCTAGCCACCACTGAAACTTTCCTGTGTAGCCAGAAGCCAGAGGTGTGAAATTAGTTTGACCAATGCCTGCTGCTGTGATCCTACGGCCAGTCGAGAAAAGAGTTCCTCAAATCATTGTTACATGGTAGTGAGGGGTTGCATATTGGTTGGCTGTGCTTGTTAAATGGATGGGTGGGGCTAAGGGTATAAGTAAAGGAGATGTTCAAACGTTTCTGTTTTTAGTAGGTCAAACAGTTGTCCCATGAAATGCAAGCGCTTGTGGTAATTGGATAATTTATAAGTAAGACTGATACATGTCATTATCAGAGAGGATTATAGCAGTTAAGACTTGTGAAGTTTTGACCACTGCTTGCTGACCGGACAAGTAAGCGACCCTTGATCCCCCTAAATTCCCCCCGTCTGAGACGGAATTTTTGTGTGGCTCCCTTGCGATTTCGTCTTATACATTATGTTCGACTGTATTATCTTTGCATGTGACTACATTATTAAACGAACCCAATCGTAATGTGAGAAAAGGAATGTTTGAGGAAGTCTGGTTTTCCTGTGAAGCCTTTTAATGGTCCTCTTGCAACTTACTACTTACTAGTGTATTTTAGCTATTGTTAGTGTTAGACCTAACGGCCAAACCGTAGATTGCTGACTGATCTTTCCTATTCAGCTATGCTCACCACTTGCTAACCTCTCTAAAGCGAAAAAGGCTAAACGAGTAAAGTTAAAATGTGCAACTGTAAAGGGAAACGAATTATCATAATAGAGAAAAACAAAGCAAGTGCAATCTTTCATGGGGGTGGTGGGGGGGGGGGGCATATTCGGTCCAAAAGCCAACCCTATAGATAGCATTATAATCAAATATAATACAAATAGATACTGCTGGGTGGAGTGCCTTGCATCTCTCTCACTCAGCATTTTTTGTTTATTAGGACCTTAAACCAAAACGTGGCTCAAATTTAAAAGACTGATCAGAAGTGCTGTGTTCTTTAAAAAAAGATATATTGTCGCCTGTCAAAATTGTGTACGGTCATGTTTTTGGCAGTGTCGACATGGATGCTTCTCATAATATTGTTTTAAGTGTTCTTATGAGTGAGTTAATGATAAGAGTAAACTTGGTTAGGTGCCCACAAAGTGATTAAATATTTAGGGAAGGAAAAGCTGTTTTTTAAAAGGAAACTGGTGTCACTTAGGTGTTAATCAATTTGCAGTTGAGTTTTGTTTACTATTTTTATTGTTCTTTCTCATGTCATAACTCATAACTGCTTGTGGTATTTAGTTGTTGTTTTTTGTCTTCTCAACTCAGTTTATTGACTTTATGATTGAATTAAAAGAAGCTCGTTAGCTTTTTTTGTGTATTTTGGTTGTAGTAATGATTCACTCAATAGTGAGCAACAACGTATTCCAGATTTCATCTTCGGCCCAGTGGATGTAAAAATGTTAAATCTGATATGGTGACATTTTTACTTTCATGGTCAGAATATATAATCATAAATCTTTCTTTTAGAATTGATAGCTAGTGTTTTCTTCAAGTGTTGTTGGCATACGACTACTTAATGAGCATTTTGTTTTTCTTTTCAGTTTTTAATAACCTGAACTATTGTGCCCTTTCTAACCTCATAAATAATGGGAAAAAAAGGGATTTGCCTGCCTCTTGGTCCTTGCGGCAGATTTCACTATGACCATTTTTCTCTCTCTTTTACGTGCAAGCTAGCAGTTCCCAAAGCTGACTGACAGAAATGACATTTTTTTTACATGTATAGTCAGTTTTTGTCTAAGTTGTATTGCTCTATATTTTAAAACTAGCAATGGACCTGTCGGTTCTTTTCAAACTGAAAGTATGAACTCCAAAGCAAATAATTTTGTTGATATGGCTGTGTTGATACATGTTTGGACTAAAGTTAGGTAAAAGTAAAGCAGACTTTATTGATCACAGCTAATGGTTCTATTTCCTGTTCCCTTAAAACAATATAGCACCAACCCCACTATGAAGGAGGGAGGAAGGAAACTT